AGATAATCCAAAGTCGCGAGTACGTCGAGATTTTGAAATGTCATGGGTGTACACTTTCGTTGCACGATACAATTTTTCGCAGCGAACTGTATTATCGACAAATGTATTATCTACTTTCGAATGTAATCGAGAATGTCGAAGCTTGTCAATTACAATTTCACTTCTGAGAAACTGAAGAAAGCAGATTAAGATAACTGAGCATAACGTTAACATAACCAACAGCATCTGACACGATGTGATATAATGCTGACGTCTCTTTCTATTTCTAGCCTGTACAGTGATTATAATTAATAATTATGAAATCGTCGTTAATTTCTACTGTTTCTACGTTTCGCGAATCGAGGTCACCGCGAGCCGAAATAAAGTGTCGCGAGCCGATACAGGATCGTAAAGATAACAGACGACGAGAATCGTTTCGTGAATTCTTTCAAGAATTTTCAGAAGGATAGAAAAATAAAGTGGTATAAATATGTGATTGTCACTCACCCATGTTGTCCCACGAAGCTAACCTCCTCGAGACGACAAGGCAGGACCTCCGATGCCTCATGTGGCCGATCGTCCTCTGTTTGCCAATCGAGCCACCGGTTCGACCGATCACGCAGTCGCTCGAATCGAGTCTCTCTGCAACCAAAACAATTCCAACTGTTTCTCGCTGTTCTAATTAATTCGGCCGTTGAAACGGTAAATGAAATGACACACGGAACAAGTGAGAACATTATTCGCGGGCGGCTCTCGCTTCTTCATTTCGATTTTTAATTTCAACTTTCGGCCGATTCGATTAATTTAACTTCAATTTAATTAGAATTCAATTTTAAACAGCACGGCTTTTAATTTTAACTTTAACTTATCAACAGTCGTTTAATTTTAATTTTGCCATAATTCACAATTTTCATGTATTTTCTTTTTGATCGAAGTTCATCTTCTCATTTCCATTTTATTTTTAATGATAGAAATCATTTAAAAAAGGAGGGGAAGAGCAGTTTTTTTTCTGAAACACTAGACAACATCTAAAATAAATCATTTTACATCTACCATTATACCTACGATTCTCGTCACTATACTCGATATGAAATTTAACCCTCTCCGACACAGTGACCCGAGAGTTACATTAAACTTTCGAAATGCCTATCGCTGTTACGTTCGTAATCCTTGCAAATGCCCAAAAAATGAATCGTAAACTGGTCGAGTACTGTTTCTCCTCGAGCAGACAAAATTCTGTTAATTTCTTGTTTCTCAAAAAGTCAATTTCAAACAATGTCGGAAGCACGTAATTACAATATACCTTTCTGTATACTTACGTATGTTATTTACGACGTCTACAGATCATTGACATCTATAGTTATCGACGTTCGATATATTCACTCACGGAAACACGGAAAAATAGAAAACTCGCGAACAACGAGAGGAACGGCGTGAAAAGGGGGGAGGGAGGGGGAGGGAGGGAATTCCGCTCATAGAACGAAAGTCTTGTGTCGTTTAGTAGTATTTCACCGTTACGTCAGACGCCGAGAGAGCTGAGCGAACATTCCTGGACCGTGTCCAGAAGCGATCTGAATTCCACGACGGTGAATTCCAACGTGGTTGTCATACGACGATATCAAGGTGAACGCGATTCTGCGTCCCGCGTATGAATGAACGCTGCCCCTCTGTATATCCCCACACTTTCGCCTCGTCGAACCACCCTTTAGGCTCGTGCTCCAGTTAACGATCGGTGGGACGGTCGAGCTTCTTTCTTTTTGATTATTTTCCAACGAGGAGGGGTATCCTTCGAATTTCCAACGAAAGTCTTGGCCGTTGGTCGCACGTTTAAATTGGCGGCGACGTTTAAAATTCGTCTCGAATTCATTGAGGATCGAGCGGTAGGTCGTCTTTCACTCTATGAAGCGAACAATGGTCTCGAGGAATTAAACAGTTGAAGAATTGAAAATCATTAAAATGAGGTGAATTTCGTGCACTGGAAAATATTTAACAAATTGAAAGATGAAATTTCAAGATGGTCATTTTTGAAAGGGATATATATATATATATAAAACTTATATATATATATATAATGTTTATAAATATATGAAACTCAATCGTTTGATAATTTCCTTAATTTGATAACCTTTGATCAGTTCTTAATTAATGTGAAAATACTTAAATTTCTCGGTATTTTATACTTCAGGTGTAGAATTTAAAATTTATGAAACAAAGTGATTACAGGAAGCATCCCTATACTCGTCATTGAAGTTAAGCATAATTTTCTCTATCTAAAATTTATTTGTTAAATTTGACGTATCGCTCTGATTTTAACTGGATGATTTGTTAGATATTTATCTGAATGATTATTCAATTTTAAATAAAGACGAGATTTTACAGAGACGCTTCATCATTTTACGTTTATTACACAAATGAGATTTATTGTGAGATCAGCGGAATACCAAAAAATATATTTCTATTTTTTTTTCAATTCGTATTGAATCAAATTTTTCAATAGGTACATAAAACAAAAACATGTGAAATAATAATAATATCTATTAACAATAAATGGTGCTTCGAATAAATATTCTTTTTTAAAAACTATCCAGTTTAAGCTCAGAAGCATCTATAATTTCTAATAGCATGAATCATAAATTTCAACGGATGATATCCAGAGAGAAGGCTGAGGTATCTAGAACGAATCAAGTATTGATCATCCGATATGAAAATCGATGTAATTGCTTCATTAATATTAATATCGATATCATAAATAAGGTACTGAGCTTCATGTTCCGCTGGAGGCAACCCAGAAAATCTCGGTCACCAATGAAACTCAACAAAATTCATCGTTAATACAAATTACGAATAAAAATTAAACTCGAAAGAAGAACAAACATAATTTAATTCTTAACTGACTCCGACTACAATCACTTAGGTCACACTTGCAAGTTACTTAATTTATAATAGTTCAGAGTTTGTTAAATTAAAAAAAAAAAAAAAAACACAAACATTATAGAGATTTAGAGTTTCGAGATTAAATAATCTAATTAGTTTAAACTTTTATTTATTCAGGATACGAAGAGGATAATACATTACAATGTACTGAATAAAGATTAATGCATTCTCAATGATTTTCTATTATTAAGAAATTTTAAAAATAAAATTATGATATTATATAAATCAATTCATGGTTTATCCCTATAATAAAATTAATTAAATATCATTATTGTATATAAAAATAATAAAAATAATAAAAATAAACTGTATATAAAAATAATAAAAATAATAAAAATAATAAAATTAATTAAATATCATTATTGTATATAAATTAAGTTTATTTAAAAGAGACTAGATATTAATAAATACGACCAACATTTCATCCTCGTTCCACATAAATCTAGAGTTTTATATTCCTCCAGATTTTCACCAACAGATTTCGGCAATTTAAGGTAATTTAAGAGTATACATTGCTGTTCGAATGTTGATAATAAAGAGCGAGTTAACAGCGGCAACCGGTATCCCAAGATCACTTGGATTTCGACGAAGATTTGAAAACTGGCGGAAATCGAATATGTATACTTTCTCCTGAGCATTCCGTTCTGGTTCCGAGCACGATTTATTTACACGGTAGCGATAGTATTTCTAAGAATAGTGCACGCACGCCAGCATTATCGCCCGAGAACCAAGGCGATCCCGCTTTTCATGTAATTACGAAGCGAAGAAGCCATTTTGATCTTTTTCAGGTGAAACAATTCCGCCGCAAACGATCGACTTCGAAAGGAGAATGAAGCGTCGGTGGATGCTAACTTCTAAACTGTGTCGTCACCATTCTGTTCCTTTTTACTAACGCTAAAATTTACTCGTTGCCTGTTTTAACCTCTTGTGCTGGAACAACGTGCCATTTTTGTCTCAGATTGCAACATTTTCTGAGTTTTCAGTGTATTTAAATGTAGCACCGGTCGAAACAAATGATAAGTTTATTGCTTCTTAATAATTTCAATCCAGTGATGATATACCGACGAGTTCAAAGGAAAAAGAAAGCGACGAATGTATTGCATACGGTTCGGTCGCTCGTTACGGTCCGCAATCAGTTGCCAGTCGCAAGTTGGTTAACCTCTTTGCGCGTCGAGGATTTTTTATCTTAAACTGCAGCATTTTCTCAGTTTTCAGTATATTTAAATGTAACACCGGGCGAAACAAATGATAAGTTTATTGCTTCTTAATAATTTCTATCCAGTGATGATGTACCGACGAGTTCAAAGGAAAAAGAAAGCGACGAATGTATTGTTCGGTCGCTCGTTATGGTCCGCAATCAGTTGCCAAGGGGTTGACAACTGATTCTGGCTGCAAAGAGAAATATAGATAGCTCTAGGGAACAATAGGGAAAATAAACTGTAGGAGAGGATATTTAAAATTCCAGACAAATTTTGTGAAAATAATACACGTGCGATCGTATTGCCCCGACTACAAAGCGTGGATGTTTAAAGATTGTCCCAAAAATTCTCAGATTCTCGATCATGGATCCTGAAATTTCCGAAATTTCCAAATGTTCAAAACTCATAAATTCCCAAGCTTCCAAGCTTCCCTTTAAATTTCTCTAATTCTTCGTACTTCTCTGATGTTCGTACTTCCCGAGTTAATTGCAAGAAAAGTCTCGAAAAAAGAAATCTGAAAGAGAATGAAAAAATTCCAAAAAAAAATTGCCCTGAAACTTCGCTGAAAGAAGAACCGCGAGGAAAACTTTCTTCTCGCCGAACTTTCTTCTCGCGAAGGAAAAAAAAGAAAAAAAAAAAAAAAAAAAAAAAAGATAATACGCATGTGTATCAACCATACACAAGAGGAGAGAAAAAATCGTGTATGCGATTGGCTGAAAAAAAAAAAAGAAATGAACCCAGCTAAGAAAACTAATTGCTCTAGGCGCAGTTTGAAAATATAAATGGTTAAAAAAACAAAGGTGCTCTTTCTCGGTTTTTTTTTTCTTTTTCGTGCGAATGCTCCACTCGTTTGGGTTTCACTCTATTTTTGTTTTATTTATTTATTTATTTATTTTTTCTGATCTTTTCATCAGACTTGTGTACACCTGATCGTGATATCACGCATCGTCGTCGCGAGTTCTTTCAAGGATTTCACGGGGAGGGGTGGGGTTTCTGTTCACACACAGTTCCGCGCAAAAAACACGCGAAGCTCGATCTAAAGTATCTGCAAGTGTGTCTGTTGACTTTTCTTTGGCTCCAGACGTGTGTGAAATGTAAAAAAAGAAGCAAAAAGAAATACGTATACGTATATTATAGCCACAAATAGAAAAAGAAGTAAAACAGTTAGCCACAGATCAGGCTACGCTGATTTCACTCGGACGAAAACGGACTTTTCGCGGACGATTTTTCCCCGTTGTTTTCCCTTCTTTTTTTTCTTTTTTTCCTTTTCTTTTTGAACTTTCGTCTCCTCAACGGACGTGCGTGTACACCGCGAAAGAAATCGTTCCGTCCCCGTAACCCTAGTCGTTGTTTCCTTCTCCTAGTTACATAAACGTTCGTTGCTAATCGAAACGCGACAATTCGCGAAAAATTTCCCTCCAAAAATATTTGTACTCTACTCTAAGTGGCGAGAAACAAGTAAATACACCTGGCAGCTCTCGGATGCGAGATATAAATTTCAGCCGGCTTTCCGAAACGATCTCTCCTATCCTTTTCTCCTCGATAAAAACCGACGAGTCTCGAGTCTCTAAGGTTGCTGCGTAATTCTTTGTTCCCGTGCAGGTAAACTACCGCTATAATATCGTCCATCAAATGCAACAACGACTGACATACATCAATTATTTTGTGTAATCTTTGTGCATAAAAATCTTCAATGCAAAATAGTTTGGACGGAGGGAATGAAACAATTTTGCGGCCAACTTTATATAAAACACGTAACGAGTGAGATTCTCCAGACATTGACGATCCTTACGAAAGAGCTGAAACGTGTAATGCTTCACATAGCGAAACATCGAGTTTGCTGAGCAATTTGACGAGCAAAAATTACGCAGCAGCTTTGAAATGCGTATGTATTTGTTCATTCATCCCCCCTTTCGAATGATCGAGAATCCGATTTCGCGAATCCGTTCGTAAACCTCGAGTGCCTTGCGAGCTCTAACACTAGGCATTTGGCAATTTAAGGCAGTACATATATCTCAGCCCCTTAATCTATGCTAAAACCGATCCGCGCACCCTTGCATCGGTGATCGTGAACGTTAATCGTTATATATTTCGATTTGGAAGCATTCGCGAAAATCAGATCCAGGTGGTTATTGTCGTGGAATTATAAAAAAAGATAAAATGAGAAAACGGTTTCGAACGATCGAGCACATTTCAACCTCTCGCGCTGGAATTTGTTTGTCCCAAAATTGCAATATTTCCTCAGTTTGAGTATAACACAATAATAAGGCAAAACAGAGGAAAAATTTATTACTTTCCAATAATTTCTATCCAGTCGTATCGATACCGACGAGTTCAAGAAGAAAGCGACGAATTAATTATTGTATACGGTTGTTTCGGTCACTCGTTATGGTCCGCAATCAGTTGTCAGCGTAAGGGGTTAACCTCTTGTCCCAAAAATTGCAATATTTCCTCAGTTTTAAGTGTATTCGAGTATAACTCAGGCAAAACAAATAGTAAATTTATTACTTCTCAATAATTTTTATCCGGATGATATCGTGCCGACGAGTTTAAAGAGAAACACAACAAACTATTATTGTGTACGATTCGGTCACTCGTCATGGTCCGTAATCAGTTGTCAGCGCAAGGGGTTAACCTCTTGTCCCAAAAATTGCAATATTTCCTCAGCTTTAAGTGTATTCGAGTATAACTCAGGCAAAACAAATAGTAAATTTATTACTTCTCGATAATTTCTATCCGGATGATATCGTGCCGACGAGTTTAAAGACAACAAACGATTATTGTGTACGATTCGGTCACTCGTCATGGTCCGCAATCAATTGCCAGCGCAAGTGGTTCAACTTGAATTTTAAAACTACTAATGCAACTACTAATGTTTTTCTCAATATAAACGTCAAGTAATCGAACATATTTAGGTATTTGAAAGATTTTATATTTAAAGAACGACGACTCGTTCCCAATAACTCGCGAGCAGCCACGATTTTGCGAACCGTCCACTCGAGCTTCCTCTGTCTCGCAGCGATGAAAAGGCGCCTGAGAGATCGTTCGTCCACGATCACCGATCGCGCGCGAATCTTCGAAACAACGAAACCTCGCCTTGAGACGTAATACAAAAAAACCGCACCTCTAAAAACCGTACAAAAATTCGCTAAAAATTCGGCGCGAGCGTATAACGAACAAGTATAACACGCGAAGACACGCTGCTACACCACTACAGTGGACACAACGATCGTTCTCTTGTTCGACTCGTTGCTATCTTTTCCACTGTTGCTATCGCTGCAGCGAACGTCGTCGTCGAATCCCACTTACCCGCTAACGTCCCTAACTCTCACGGAATGTTGTGCACCGTTTTCAAGTGACTCACATTACAATTATTCGTTAACCGTATGTATATATATATATATATATATATATATATATATATATGTATGTATGTATGTATATGTATGGTTCGTGTTTGGTTTGCGTGTTACATATTTTGCGAAATGAAATTCGACGAGCACGGAGAACGTATTACACGAGAATCTCTCTCTCATTTCTTTTTTTTTTTTTTTTTTTTTTTTTTTTTNAACTTTCTTCTCGCGAAGGAAAAAAAAGAAAAAAAAAAAAAAAAAGAAAAAAGTGGGAAACGTGGAACAAGAGGAAAAAGAAAGGGCATTTCGCGCGTCAGATGCGTCCAAGGAGTGATTTACGAGGTTGAAAGTAGACCGGCTGGCGATTGGCAGTGGTCGCGTTGGAGGAAAGCAGCGCGGCAACCGGTGATTTTTCCTCGAGCGATATTTTTTTCCCCGTGGCTCGAAGGAAACCGGTCGTCTTTATCATCGCGACGATAAGTCGCCGCCCGCCCGCCACTTGCGCAATCATTATGCGCCGGAGAAACCGTTCCTCGTGCCATATGCAAAAAAGCGTGCTCGTTTCTTTCTCTCTTAAACAATTTTCTTCCTCTCTTTTCAAATCTACAAGACTCCTCCTTCCACCTTTTCATACAGATATTTTTAGAAATTCTCTTGTTGACATTGTTTCCTCTTGCTTTCGTTTTTTTTTTTTTTTTTTTTTTTTTTTTTATAAAGGAAGCTAGCTTAAACTCTGAGATTTGTGAAATTAGCAATGCACAATTGTAATGTAATAATATTATAATGAAATATGCAAAGAAATAAAATATAATATTGATACACTTATTTAAAAGAAACGAAATGTCCATTTTGGATGATCCAGGGTGGGAAAAAGTGTTGTTTTAAATTGCACAGTGTTTGTTTCCACCATCACTGAAAGAACCGCGGCTTTTACATTTGAATTAACGGAGAAGAGAAGGCAAAATCAAGGGGGAGAAGTGATAAAAGGTCGCGTGAAAGTGAGTCTGAGAAGTGTATACGATAGGCTGGACCATTCAAGAAGAGGGGAAATGTATATTCGGATTGGCTATGGTCCAGAGACCAATAGAAAACCGAGAAGATCACGCTTGCGTAGCATCCGATCTTTCCAAGCGTGCATCTCTCCGAGGATGGTAGATTTTTTTTTAATGAAATTAATAAAAATTAACAGAGTGACAAACGAATGCTGCTATCTATCACGTACGGGGCACTAAAACTTCAATGCTTGTAATTTAAATTTATTTAGTTACCAATTACCAATTTTACCTTTCTCAGTTATCCAATCGATCCCACTTTTACGAAATCCCCAAATTTTCTTTAAATTATCAAATCTTCAACGCTTGAAACATGATCTAAGTAAAATTTTGCTTTCGCCTCCAAAATTTTCCCTAATTTTCTCCAAACTAGCAAATTTCAAATTCAAACTTTGATTTCCCATCATTTCCAAAATGTAGGACAACATAAAAATAAAATTTTATTTATTTCACCTTCTAAATTCTTGCCAATTCTCTCTGAATCATCAAATTTTGAACTCTCCATCTTTCAAACTCCCAAAGTATGACAGAAGAGTTTCATTTACTTCATCTCCCAAATTTTCCCCAAATTCTTTCTCTAAACTATCAAACTTTCAACTCTCCATCTCCCAACATCAACTTCCAAAATACCTGAATAAAATGTCGTTCATTGTACAATTGATCTAAAATGACATCTAACAATTAAATCTCGTATAAAATTTCATATAAAAATAATGTTGAAAATCTGCGAGTCAGGAGTCTCCCTCTTTCTCTCTCTGAGAGAAAGACGGTCAAGGAGGAGGAACCGGAACTGGAAGAACAAAGACCAGAGGCGGACGAGAGGCCAAGATCCGGAGGTCATAGGTTTCGTATACCTGCACGTTCCAACGGGACGTTTCGTCCCGCTACCTGTTCGATCGGGAGAAACGTGCGTGTGGAAAACTGGATTCCCCGAGGGATGAGGGACGGGACAATCCCCGCGCAAAGGGGAGACAATCCAGTGTCAGGTACGCAGGTCAGAAGAGACCCCAAGGGTGAAACGTCCTGGGTCACGCAGGTACATAACCCCTTCACGGGCCCATTTAATGCTCTCATTTCGCGCCAACCCTTCCCTCCACTCGCATGGAAAAAGAAAAATCTCTGATAAAATATATAGAGCAGCTCGCTTCGTTGACCGGATGTCCCGATTGGTGGATTCTCCGTTCGTGCAGACGAAAGAGACAGGAAAAAATCAAACGCAAGTTTGCGCCGGTAGTGGAGGCCCGACATTTGGCGAGTTTGAAGGTTAGAAACCGTTTTCGTTGAAGGAAGAGGATGGACGATGGGGTGGAGAGAACCGTTGGACGTTTGCGGAGGAATAAGGAAGAGTGGATCTAGTGGATCGACGCGGTGTGTGCTCTCTTTGGTGACAAGGGTTGATCGATGACAACTGGTTTCTGATCTCGGCGTAATTTCTCGCCGATTAATTCGGAGAGACCAACTTGGGCGTTGTATATTGGCGAGTGAGAATTATGAAAACAGCGAGTATCTAAATGCCATGGTAACTATACTTTGAATGCTTTACAAAAGAGTTTTCAATGTTTGCGCTGGCAATTGAACTGCGGACCGTAACGAGCGGCCAAACCGTATACAATAATTCGTCGCTTTCTGTTTTTGTGCACGTCGGAATGACATCACCGGATAGAAATTACTGAGAAGTAGTAAATTTATTATTTATTTTGCCCATCTTGTTTTACTTAAATATACTTAAATATACCTGAGAGAATATTACTATGGTCCAAGTATACAATTGAAAAGTGTTTAATAGAAAATTGTTTACGCAGCGAGTATCTAAATGCCATGGAAACTATACTTTGAATGATTTATAAAAGAGTTTTCAATGTTTGCGCTGGCAACTGACTGCGGACCGTAACGAGCGGCCAAACCGTATACAATAATTCGTCACTTTCTTGTTTGAACACGTCGGAATGACATCACCGGATAGAAATTATTGAGAAGTAGTAAATTTATTATATTTGTTTCGCCCATCTTCTTTTACTTAAATATACTTAAATGCCATGGAAACTATACTTTGAATGATTTATAAAAGAGTTTTCAATGTTTGCGCTGGCAACTGACTGCGGACCGTAACGAGCGGCCAAACCGTATACAGTAATTCGTCGCTTTCTGTTTGAGCACGTCGGAATGACATCACCGGATAGAAATTGAGAAGTAGTAAATTTATTATTTAATTTGCCCATCTTGTTTTAATTAAATATACTTAAAACTGAGAAAATATTACGATTTTGGAACAAAATCTCGATTCGCGACACGTCATTTCATCGCCAAGAGGTTAATACTCGTGAATAACAAACGCAACTTAGAAATTATACAATTTCACTGATTAAGTAGAAAATAAATATGTCGAAATAAGAGAGACAATTAATAACAACGTTTCAGAGACGGTCTTCGACGCAAATTCGTTACGAAGAGTATGAATAAATCACGAATGAGAAAATGAACGAGGCACGGTACTGACACTTGACAATGATAAATAAGATTCCATCCTGAATTTCCATTCTCGGGCAATGTGTATTCGAATAAAGTTAACGAAATGAACATGTGACTTTTTATGCAGGAAAATATCTTCGAAATGATGATGAAGTGCTACTGTCATTCTAAAAAAAAGAGGCCGATAACGACTTCGTTGAAGCAAGGTTTGTTGCAAAGGCAGCATTAGTCATGCTGCGCTGTGGTAAATAAATAGAGATAAAAGTAACGGTTGCAAACGAACGACGTACAGTAGCATAACTTGTTGCAATAAAAAAGAAAAAAAATATCCACCGATTTCTCGTTCTCGAAGATGAAAAATTTTTACATTCGCTTTCGAAAAATTTTTACAACAGTACTTGCCTATTCATCGATCTTTCATTCTCAATAGCTATCAAACGCGTAAGCATGCATCACAGTTCAAATTAATTGATTGTCAATTCTTTTCATTAAATTTTAACAATTATTCATATGTCAGAAATATGATGATAATTGTTAGGTGAATATATTAAAATGTAATAATTATTAGCACATTGTTGGTAATAATAATTTTACAATTATTATTGACAAAGATATATATTGTAATATTTAACAATTATTATGTTGTATTGTAATATATATTATGTTACGCAAATAGTTACTAAAATATATAAATATGTCAGAAACATGTTATAAATTTTATAATTTTAAAATACGTGTTGTATACAGTAATGTTTATATAATATCTATAAAAATGGTAAAATGTCTGAAATCTTGTTTTTCTTCTTTTTTTTTTAATTTTTTGTTAAAGTAGATGCTTTGGAGAATTACAGATTCAACTTCTAAAGTTTCTACCAAGTATATCTATTGAATAATGTAGAGAATATGACGGTATAGTGCTTCTGATAAGAGGCGATAAACTTTTACTGACGTGCCTGGTTAAATTTCAAGGCTCCTCACGAAACGCGTGCAATTCTTTGAGAAAAACTCGCTCGACGTTCCGTCGATCTTCTTTCAGTATTGGTTCCTCAAATATTCAACATTTGAAATCACGAAACAGTTACAACTGTTAAATACTCGAGTATCGAAATTCTTCAATTTTCAGAGATTGGCTTCTCAAATTCTTAATTCTTCCTTGAGATTCGAGTATCAAGTGTTGATATTTTTGAATATTCAAATTTTCAAATCTCGATCCTCGAATTCTGAAGGATACTAATACAAGTTTTCAACGAATTTTCAAATGTTCAAATTCTCAATTATTGCGACGTTAAAACTTCCAAATATATCGAAACGTGTAAATATCAAATTGTCGAGGAAAAACTCCCAAATTTCCAAATTTTTCAGCTTGCATACTTCTTCGTCAAACTCGATACGACATTCTCTAAACCTAACTAAAAAAAATCTCCAGTCTACAGAAACAAAGCCACCTAATTACTCTAAAAATCGCCGACAACTCGCAAAAATCCAACGTAAATGAAAAGTATCAGCTAGTCCGTGAAACCCTCCAACGGAAATTCACCAGTTCCATCGATCAAATCCAACCTCTTCCCTCCACTCTCCAACTATCTGCGATTTCCAAGCTGCGCGCAGACCGCGTGTCCGTTGCTCCACATAAAATCGACTCGCCATAAAAAAAATCCCAACGGCCAGAAACTCCAACAGCCAATCCAACGTTCGTCCTTAAACTATCGAACTGACCTGCATCGTCCATTCCTTAACCTCTGGAAACAAACTGTGAAAAGTGGGGGGCACACAGAGGGAGAAAGAGAGAGAGATTCGTTGCTCTAGTTAGCCAAAATAGTCTGACCTCGCGTTGGATGGAAGAGAGGAAAAGACGAGAGAAAACCGAAAGACAACGTTAATGTATAAATCGTCGGCCGAGAGGTTTTTTCGTCCAGGTGCAGGGATATATCCCTTAACGGTTCGTCACATTAGCGTCCTCGCTACGTTTCCCATCATACGCGGCTAGCTGGACAGAGGAAGGTCACCTGTGGCTAACGGATTTTTTCGGCCTAATTTAAATAAGTTCCACGCGGTATCACGAAACGTAACACTCGCACAGCGGCGTGCAACGCCGGCAGTGGGGACGTCCAGGTAAAATTCGATGACCGCGCCAAGGTCTGCCCCCGGTGAAGGCAGAAATCGCCTCCTCCAGGTAGGCCAGAGAGTCCGTCCGTGGGGAAATCATGGGAATTCACGGCGGCTGACCATTCGTATAGGTCAGTCGCCGCGTCTGGAGAGTATTAGAATATCATCAACCCTTTCTGCGTTTGATATGTACGCACGTGTATTATCCGGCGGCCTTCCACTTCACTCCGAAGATTCTCGGGCCTTCGTTCTCGGTTTTCATTCTTCCTCGGGGTTGAGGGATTTGTTTAGGGTGGATCGTGCGTAGCCAGGCAGGATGAAGCTGATATGACCACGGTCCAGGGGATGAATCCAGTGGGAAACTGGGGTCAGTTGGTCGGTTTCACGTGTGAGAACGGGGATTCCGGATGGTTTGCTGTTCACGCGATGACGAGATTCTGCGCGAATTTGCATTTTTGGGAATACTTTATTGAAATGGATATTTCTTTGGTCACTGAACATTGTACGCTTCGTTTTTTCTAATTGGAGTCAGTCGTTGGGTTTCACGTGTGAGAGACAGAGAGAGAGAGAAAATTTCCGTCTTTGGGACAATACTGTTTGAAAAGTGGTCTCCAAATGGGAATTTCTTTAATCATTGAACATTGTAGGTTTTATTTTTTTATCTAATTGGCGCCAGTTGTTGGGTTTCACGTGCGAGAGAGATAGAAAATTCTCGTCTTTGGGACAATACTGTTTGAAAAGTGATCTCCAAATGGGAATTTCTTTTAATCACCGATTATTACATACTTTGTATGAACTGTTTAAAAACTATACTGATCAACTCCACTTTTAATTTCATTACATAAATACAAGATTATTATTGTTAAGATAATCATTACATCATTATTATATGATAATTATTATTATACTACTATATTATTATTGTTGATATTATCATATATCAATAGATAATGATGCATGATATCATTACATCATTATTATATTTCGTGTTATTATATCATTATTATGTTAATATCATTATATATTATTATATAATTATATAATATATAATATAGATTATTATATTGTATGTAATTATTATTGTTATCAATAATATCAATAGCACACAGATGAAAAGCGTTTTGAAGGAAAAGAAAATATTCAGGCCGCGTTAACAGGTAAGCTACCCCGGTATCGTGTCTCTTTACTAAGGTATACCAACTCGTCGTCGTCGGTTTGAGCTTGCAGAACTACTGATACATCGCGATTAACATAAATTTACAGACGGAACGTCCGGTGTACTGCCCTGCGACTGCCTATCAGCGTGGTAACTGTCTGCTTTGCATACGCTTAATCCTTAAGCGTTATTTATTTCTATAGATGCATCGTAGCTCGTTTAACAACCGAAAGAGAGAGAGAGAGAGAGATCTATTTGCATAATGAATATTATATAATATTATGTACGTGTATTGCTTGTGTAATATTTCTATATCGATCTATATGATATATATGTTTACCGTGCGAACAGATTTTAATTTGATAAAATTAAATTTATTTCCTTCGATTCGACAAACGAGTCTCTGTGTGCTTTCGCGCATGAAAATAAATAAAAACGCGAGATTATTTTAATTTTACCCAATTGAAAATCTGATATCGCGTGGAAACGATATAATTAACATCTTTAAATTAACATCTTTTCACGGAAAATTTTAGTTTCATTTTTATTGAAACACTTTGCATTCTAATTAATTTTCTCCACGATTTCTTAATAAATCTTCTATTTACGAAATTGCAGTTCCAAAACCAGAACGTAGTACACTGAATTTTTTTTTTGGAAGTTTTCCGTTCTGTACAATTTCTTAATAACGCTACCAATGTTCTCTGTTTCAAAAAAAAATTTCATGTTATCCTAATTCTTCCAACTGAGACTGAATTTCACCTGAAATTTTATCAACATCCAGCATAAAGAGAAGACCGAGCGAGGATCAGACAGCAATTGATTACGAAATGCTTCAACTTATTCAGATTTCATAAAGTATGAAACAAATCCGTGGGATTTCCTTTCGTTAGAAAACATTCAGTTCGCTGGATAATGTAAATCGATTAAAAACAATTGCGAATTAAACGTTGTGTTCCAACAGCTTCGCTATTAAACTATTAGATATAGTACATACTGATTAATACACGCCGCTATACATTCTCTAAATATTTATCGCGAGAGCTGCGTACACTTTGCACTTGTGAAACGTGATAAATTGCAGAATAATTATACAATATATAATAATGTACAGGGTGTTCATCGCGCAGTTTTCTCTTAAACCATTTTCTGATGATTAATCTTGAAATCTCAAGTGTCAAATTATGAAAAGCTTACGTTGTTTCGATGGCGAATAGTTAGAGAGATAATCGATCGATTAGCTTCATATGGTACATTCTGTATGTAATAATATCGTAGAATAATAATAATTAATTCAGGAATTAATAAAATTCGCATCCCACGTCCTTGAAATCTTTCTCTCATTGAATTTACAAACGATCCCAATTCAATCAATCGAATAATTACGACAATGTAATTTCAATAATTAGTAAAAATTCTTCGTTTAAACCGCGAGCTTTCTTCGAAACTAAATCAAAATTTGGGTCCTAAGTCAATGGAGAGGAGAGAGAGGGAGAGATCTAAATTTTCACGACTGACTGTACGCAAAAGTCGAATCAACGTGACAACACACACACACACACACACATACACACACACAGAGCGGGTGACGTCCGGACAGCCACAATCAGTGGCAAGAAGTTAGAGCATCCTCCTGACCTGAGGATCAATGAATGATCGATATCGAGCCATCGGCGGCACGATCCATATTCATGGCGGATTCCAATGAGCTGGCCGACAGCTCGAGGGGGAAAAAATAAAGGGAAAGAGAGAAGCAGAGGATTAAAAGTGAGAAAGAGAGAAGGTTGGCACGGACACACGTCTTTTCTTCGTTTAGCCTCGAGCATCGGCCCGGCCGCCGCTTATTTGCGTGAATGTAACGATGATGTTGCGCGTACCGAAGCGGGGTCGCAGGTCGTTGCAAACAATCCCGGCGTGTGGGAACTCGACTGTCAGAAAAAAACCGACTGCCGTTCGCCTCGGAGGAGAGGAGAGGAGAGGAGAGGAAGAAGAAGAAGAAAAAATAAAAGGCAGAAAACGAGATCGCGATCAGAAGCTTGCGGGGGATGATTGCTTCCGAGAATAATTCGCGGTCGTTCAGGTTGTACGCCTGGCAACCCTTGAAAACGACCGAGTACGGACCTCCTTCTCACAATTTTGTTAGAAAAATTACCAACTCGCAGAGAGAGAGAGCGACTCTCATGATCATCTACGGCTGTTATTTGAAAATTACCCGAGTTTGTAACTATCGTTCTACACTTACGTTACCGCTAACATTACCGAGTTATAGGCTCGTTCTACGCTGTTGCAGTTTGCAACTCTAGCGTCTATACTAAACGAGCTTTTAAATAAAAAAGACACCTACTCGATCAGGAACGAAGCTACTTTCTTCTCGTGCGATATAGTCTTGTTAACGTTAGATTTATTATTTGCGATTTTATTGAGGATCGGTGGCCTTCTGCGCAACCAATTATGCTTGGTCCAGTTAGAGTGGATTACGAAATACAAGGGTGATTTAATTTGAACTGTGATGACAAATGTAGCGACAGTTACGTACTTAGTTCATTTCCTTTATGCGACCGTTGCGTCAAATATTTGTGCGTCAGTCGAGTCTTTTAATAGCAAGAAACGTATTGTTCGATTATAATTGAAGATTAAAGAGTACCGTGCAGATTAATTATTGATTTGATACGTATAATCTTGTCATTCGGTGTCAAACTTTTAGATTTTTGGTAATTTTAAGTAACGCTTTAAAAAAACGATAAATATCACTATTGCTTCATTTCTGTGGCCTGACTAGAGTACATATTTCACAAGACAATATTCTTCCTCAATCTTAATGGGTTGATAATATTTAAATTGACGAAAAAAGAGAAAACGGAAACATTTTTTTTGTGTTTGTACATAGATGGATTGGAAAATAATGTTGCTATAAAAACTCTATAATTTCCTATATTATGAAAAATTTCCAATGTTTTAAGCTTTCATAACTTCGTGAAAAACAATAGGATAAATTTCAAAGAATCGTTTTAAAGAGATTCAGTTACAAAAAAAAAAAATTTTTCAGTGTCTATAGCAACGCGTGAAATTGTGAAAAGTATTTTTATTTATTCTCGTTAAAATGACGTGAAGATATTTTCGAAAAAGCTTCACTACAAAAGCTTCGCGTTTAACCTGAACTAATAAATAAGCAAATGACTTTAGATATTTAAAATTTGACTAAATTAAATTTGAATGAAGTTCGATTTGAAAGTGGCGTGGAAATATTTTGAAAAATCAGGTAGTTAAAATTTGGTAGACGAACCTTCGAAATCGATTAATCTCATTTCCCAGAAAAAT